CTCCCCTTACCCTCCAGGCTCCCGCAGGACCCCCAGTGCCCCGCTTCTCAGTCCCGGTCCTCTCTGGGCCGCACGCGGATGGGGGAGGGGCTTAACTTCCAACAAAAGCCACCCCGGGGACTACCGCTTCGAGACTTCCCGCTGGGGAGGTGGTGCCAAATGCTGGCCCGGGCCACCCCAGGTAAGGGCCCTCCTCCCTTCCCCGAAGCGCTCCCTCCCCTCCTTCCCTACCGGCCTGCTCGGGGCCACAGCCTCACAAACTAGACTCACAATATAAATAAAGCCCATAACCCACCCCTACGGTGCAATGTTGGGTTGATTGACTTTCAGAGGATCCTGACCTGTGCTTTGTGTTTTCATACAGTTAAGAAAGAGAGAGAAGAGAGAGGCACAAGGACTCAGAAGGGAACCAAGAAGGGCAGACGCAGGGAGGAGGGAGTAAGGCACAGAAAGACAAGCCAGAGGGGCCAGGCCACACCCTGGAGGGGGGGCTGGGCGTGCTCATGCTCCCCTCCCTCCAGGGGGGGCTTCTGAAGACCCTCTGGTCAGGCCCCAACCATCCCTTGGGGAAGGAGGGGGCAGCAGGGGTGGGGAGAGCTACTTCCTGTGGCGTTTTACCAAATTGTTCCCAAGTTGCTCAAATGGAGGAGGAATTCCCAGTTGCAACAGCAAAAGACCCAAACAATGAATGCCCCACCCCTAAATAAAGAGTAAAGACTTTACAGCTAATATCCAGAAAGAGGTGGCCACAGGGGCAAGGTTGGGGGAGGGGGACAGGGAAAGCTCCAAAACACTTTTGAAAAAGGACGGACGACACCCAACACCCTCCCAAGGAACTGAAAGTCGGCCAGCAGGACGCCTACCTAGTGCAGGTGGCAGGTTAGCCACAGCAGCAGCGGCTGCCTCGTCCTCCTCACGTGGCTGTGGGGTCCCCTTTCTGCTCCACTCTCCGGCCCGGCCACAGCAGGGCTGTCTGCGTGAGGGGCAGGGACTAGGGCCGATGGGGCGGAGCGAGAGTACCTGCATGCGGGGCTGGGGTGTGGGGGCAACCTGGGGACTGCCTCCCCTCACTAGCAAGGCAGAAGGGTGACCAACCCTCCCACCTACAAAGAGAAGGAAGAGGGGGCCTGTCCCAGGGTGAGACGGTGCCGTGGAGAGCAGAGAGCTTTCCGACTTTTTCCTATGGACTGTACACGGGGATCTGGGGCTCCAGAACTGCCCCGGAGGCTCAGGGTGGGGTGGCAGAACACTCTCCATTCCAGGAGCACAAAACTAGCTCCCTGCCCATTCCCGAGGCCTTCTAACCAAATTGGGGCAGGGGGTCTTGGAGGTCACCCTGCCTCCCCTGGTCCCAAGCAACCGGGGGAAAGAAGCCAGAGCTGAAGGCAGTGAAGGGGAGGGGTGGGTCACACCCTGGAGAGGGGGCCCGTTGGAAATCCCTTGGGAACTATACCCCAACATCTTTACAAGCTGGTCCTCCAAGCTCCCTACTGAAGCTCCAGTGAGAGTCAAGGGTGGGGTTTCCCAAGGGTGAGGGTGGGGCCCAGGCCCCTTCGAACGGTGCTGGTTGCTTCGTTTGGGGATTTTGTTCCTTCCCCAGGAGACCTGGACCAGACAGGATGGGGAGGCAGGCAGCCCCCTGCATACTTTCTTGCTTGCTGTCCTGTACTTGACAGTCTGCTTTGCATGCCGCTTTCTGCTTGGCTGCTGGTGCTCAGCTCCTCCGAGACCTCTTCCGAGGGTTCTCTGAGAGCTGGGCTGCTTCTGGGGGCCTGTGGGGTCCCCGGGCTGGAGGAGAGAAGGGCTGAGTGGCTGACGACGTCTAATTTTTGCTTTTCGGTGGGGCTGGGCTGGGCGGGGAAGGGGGATTTTTCCATGTTCCAAAATTTCTTCTCCCCCCTTTTGAGGAACCTCTTCTTATCATTTTGTCATTTCTTTTGTCGATCTTATCAGAGGAACCAGGACTGCAACAGGACAAGAGTGGCAATTTTGAGAATGGGTAATGTTGGGTGGTTCCATTTACTGTCCCCTGGGCCTGTGACTGAAATCCAGTCCTCTTGGACCCCTCAAAGTCCCAGCTCTGGTTGTGCCAAGGGATCCCTGGTGTTCCCCCCACCACCACCACCAACAGCCAAGGGACATCACCATTCTGTCCATCTTTTCTGTGGGAATCCAGCCTGTAAGAGTCCCTGCCCCCCAGAGAGCTAGAGTCCAGCTGGTCTTCCCTTGGGCACTATGCCCAGCGGGTGGGACCCCTGTGGCTAGTGCAAGCACAGGCACAGACCTGGGATTTGGCCATGTTTCCAATTGTTTAGAGTTTTGTGTGGTTCCTAGAGGGTGGGGAAGATGCCAGGCTGGATCTTTTGTCCCCAGAGGGGTTTGGGAAGTGGGTGGGGGTGGCCCAGTTTCTTGCTGAGTTTTCTTTCTGTCTCTTTGGATTA